TCGCTACCGATGCAGTTTCACTCTGAAAAGTCCAAATTTAAAGTTTGAGGGGTGAAAATAAGCGATGCAGACACATCCACATCTGTCGGTCCACATCTTATCAGTGATACTGACAAAATATAAATATAGCAAGTATGTTGTATTGACAACATATAGGGAATACTACGAGGATTCTAAATATCACATTATAGTCTGAATCCAAATATCACGTCACATTTGACCTCTGACCTCATGTTTATGTTTCACCCTTTCAAGTTATTCATATTGTTATTTACAAATCAATACATATCATTCATTTTCTTCTCCTGTGTGTGTAATCAAAGTAAACATCTGTCATGCTTTGCTTATCTGATCTATACTGCACTACCAACTTAAAGAAAACAAAGTGAATATTAACAACACAATACTCAGTAGTTAAAAATAAATTGTCCCGATAGTGAGCTGCGTTATGGTGGAGGTTTGAGCTCGCAGTGCGTCTTTTTTGACGTACGAGCAGAACTTTTCATGTTGATTTTTTTTTTCTCTGTAGAGCTGTGCCTGACATCAAATGTGAAAGGCAACACTGTGCCGTGTTACTCCAAACATCATTTCAAGTACTGGTACGAGCTGGGACACCCAACTGTAATTTGCGTAAGTTTCCACTGTTTACTTCTTTTTAATGTTTTGGTTTTTTAACCTCATTAGGCTAAATTCTTGCATAGTCTTTATCTTACACCGAGCCTTCAGCAACAGTTGAATTAGTTTTAGCTCGTCTCCTTTTTAAGCCATCTTTTATTCTGATTGGCCGCTCCTCTCAAAGACAGGGTTTAGACAGCAGGTGGGTGGAGCTTCTGTGGGAGCCAACTAGGGGGAAAAAACTGAGCCGTACTTTTCAGAGTATTTTTTCTTTTAGATTAACACATTAGAACTTTCTATGTGAACAAAAAAAAGATCAGAGACCTGTGGGAGGAAAGGGGGAAGAAAAAAAAAAAATCACAACTGAACGATGAATGGGTGGTGTTCCTTTTTTACATTACAGACTGACGATAAAGGAGTCTTCTGTACGGACTTGTCTCAGGAATATCAGCTGGCAGCTTCCACATTCGGTCTCAGTCATGAAGCCGTGTGGAAGCTCTCTCAGCAGGCCATAGACTGCATCTTCGCACCAGAGACTGTGAAGCAGCAGCTTAAAGAGAAGTGGAATGACTTACATCCTCAGCTTTTCAAGTGATCGGTTCATCGGAGCCAAAAGCCAACTACATACCTCAAGTTTTAATTTTTTTTTTAAAGCGACTATTTAACAAGGATTTACAGAAACCCTTACATTAAATCTAAAAATACTGTAAAATGGTTTATGTAAGTGGAAAGTAAATCATAACTTTTTATTTAATCAGGC